TATTATTATACTTACTGTATATGGTTTTTCTTTTGTTTGTTGTAGCCTTCTTTTTGTATAAGACAAAAAAGGGAATTGAAGTGATATATTATTTATGATTTTTTAAAGCTTGTCTGAGGACTCAGAAAGCAAAGTCATCCACAAGCCATAGAAGCCAGGCACACACCTTTAATCTCAGCAGCTAAAAGCTAGGAGGTGGTGGTACACCTTTAGTCCTGGGACTCAGGATTAAGAGGTAGACGAATCTCTGTGAGTCCAAGGCCACCCAGATCTATACAAGACTGATCCAGTCCTAAAGAGAAACAGCTCACACAAAGATGATCTCAGCACCTGGGATCACATGCCTTTAATCCTAGCATTAGGGACATATGTAAGACAGGAGCAAGGTCTCAGTATCAGGTATTCATTCTCCAGCCACATGGAGGATTCTCCAGCCACGCTGAGGAGAGCCAGCAGGATCAACCCATTCAGCCTGAGGTAGTGGTAAAAGCCAGTGGCCCACTACTTTACTTTACCGTTCTTCAGCTTGAAGAAGTCTCTGGGTCTTTTATTTTTCATGCTACAGCTCTACCTGTAACTCTAACACTGTGGGGCATAGAGGCAAGGATTGCTGGGTCCTACTGCCTAGCCCAAGGTTAGTGACATACTCTGTCTCAAGGGAATAAGACAATGAGAGAGGTAGAACAGGGCACTGGCATCCTCCTCTGAGCCTCTCATGGGTACAACATACAAACACACACACATACACACACACACACACACACATGCTGGTAAAACTGTATACACATAAGCACCCCCATATACATGCACATGTGGTGCTGGTATAACTGCAGAACATGTGTCCATATGGCAGCATAACTGTGCATATGTATCCCCCACATACATACATATTTTGTGCTGGTGTAACTTCCCACCCATACACACAGACCCACACACCCACAAAAGAAACCACAGTACTCTGGATTATGTTGCAACTGTTTTAGATTTCACAAATAGGCGTACAGCTTGGTGTGGTAGTACGTGCCTGTAATCAGAACACTCAGGAAGCTGAGCTGGGTGGGGTGTGGGTGTTTCCACAAATTCAAGACTGACATGGGCTTCAGAGTGAGACTGTATCTTAAATACCACTCCCATCCCCTCAAAAACCATTTACTCTTACCACTACTTTGAAATGACAGTAATTAGACACACCACTAGATATTACTATGCAACATTTTAAATAGCAAAGACATGTGTTTCTATGACCACAAGTAAAACATGTTGAAAACTCCAGTTCAATGTAATACTTCCTTTTGTAATCTACATATTTTAATTAATACATTTAGAACACTGTTTGTGGGCGGGGTGGAGTCCCCAGGTCATAAAAGAGTTCCATGTACCAAATCAACAGAACATTCAAGACCTCTGGTTTAGTATATACCATATTACTAACTGTGATAAATATAAGGTATCCATTTACAAGTCAATCCCTGACCCCAAATTTACAGCAGGAACAATTTTTTTCTCATTAATCTTGTTGTTAGACAAAAGTAGAACAGACTACAATAGTCTTAGCTGTAAGCTATTCCTCAGAATGGGTTGGCTTCAAGAACATATGGTTTCCTTTCCTTTTAAATTGTTTTAAGTGTATGAGTGTTTGCCTACATATTTACATGTGTTCCATGTGTGTATCTGGTGCCCACAGGGCCAGAAGAGAGTATTGGTTCCCCTGGAACTGGAGTTACAGGCTGTTGTAAGCTCCCGTGTGAGTGCTGAAAAACTGAACTTGGGTCCTCTTGAAAGAACAGCAAATGCTCTCCACCCCTGACCCATCTTTCCAGCCCCAACATGCACTTTCTTTAAAGTTTCATTTTCTGTAAAATCTATTCTATTTTCCTTCTTGAACCCTCCTTGTTACTTAGCCTCTCTGGGTCTGGATTGTAGCATGATTATTCTTTACTTTACAGCTAATATTCACTTATAAGTGAGTGAGTAGCATGTTTGTTTTTCTGAGTCTGGTTTAACTCACTCAGGATGATTTTCTTCTAGTTCCATCCATGTCCCTGCAAATTTCATGATGTCACTATGTTTAACAGTTGAGTAATATTCCATTGTGTAAATGTACCACATTTTCTTTATCCATTCTTTGGTTGAGGGAAATCTAGGTTGTTTCCAGTTTCTGGCTATTATGAAAATAGTTGATCAAGTGTCCTTGTGGTAGCATCCTTTGGGTATATGCCCAGGAATGATGTAGTTGGGTCTTGAGGTAGATCAATTCCCAATTTTCTGAGGAACTGCCATATTGATTTCCAAAGTGGCTGTACAAATTAGCATTCCCACCAGCAGTGGAGGAGTGTTCCCTTGCTTCACATCCTTTCTAGTAAGAGTTGTCACTTGTGTGTTTGATCTTAGCCATTCTGACAGCTGTAAGATGGAATCCTTGTTTTGATTTTCATTTCCTTAATAGCTAAGGTTGTTGAACAACTCTTTAAGTGTTTCTGAGCAATTTGATATTTCTAGGGATGGGAGCAGGAGAGAGCAGGTGGGGGGGTGCAGGGGGAGGATGAAGGTAGAGAGTACTTGAGAGAGACTAATGGACTTGGGGATTACTTGAGGGTCGATGGAGAAACCTAGTGTAGTGGAAACTTCCTGGAATCTGGAATCTATGAGGGTGACCCTAGTGAAGTCTAGTAATAATGGGGGATACAGAGCCTGAACTAGTTATCTTCTGTAAACAGGCAAGGCTTCCAGCAGAGGGGCTGGAACATCAACCCGACCACAAAACCTTCCACCTACAATCTGTCCTGCCTGCAAGATGAGTTGGGGTAATGGTGGTTCAGAACTTGAAGTCTCCAACTTAAGGTTCGCACCATGAAAGGGAGCCCATGCCCAATACTGCCTGGGTGTCTGGGAACCAGAGGCTGGACAGCCTAGAGACCCAGGATAGAGGCAAATACCACAACTGGGGAAAAAAGTCAATTAAGTGATTCCTAGTGATATTCTGCTAAACTCATAGACCAATGCCTAGTCCAATTGTCATCACAGAGACATCATCCAGAAACTGATGGAAGCAGATAGAGAAACCTACAATCAAACAATAGGTGAAGGCAGGGAACGCCAACAAGATGGATGGGGGAAGAATTCCAGGAACCAGAGAGGTCAAGGACACCACAAGAAAACCCATAGAACCAACTAACCAAGGCTTATAAGGGTTCACAGAAACAGACACAGCAATCGTGGAGCTTGTATGGGTATGAGCTAAGTCCTCTGCACATATGTTATGGTTGTATAGCTTGGTGTTCTTGTAGAACCCCTAACAGTAGGAGCAGGGGCTATTTCTGACTCTTTTTGTCTATGCTGGGGACCCTTTCCCTCTTACTGGGTTTACTCATCTGGTCTGGCCTTGATATGAGAGTTTGTGCCTAGTCTCAGGTATCTTGTTATGCCAGGTTAGGTTGGTATCTGTGGGAGGCCTGCTCTTTTTTTGTGGGGGAGGGGCGGGGACAATAGAGGAATGGATCTGGGGGTGGAGGAAGGAACTGGGAGGAGTGGAGGGAGGGGAAACCGAGGCCAGGATATAATGTATGAAAAAGAAAAAAGAATACAAAAATTAAAAAAGTTATCATCCACCCAGGGATCCTGTCTTCCTAACACATTTTTGTTTCATTTGAAATGAGCCCCAAAGGGCTATGGATAGCTGCCTCAGGCATTGCCCTTCCCATAGAAATGTAAAACATCTGGATAACCCCACAGACTGGTAGTTTTGCCTGACCTCTCAGAAACCAACGTCATAGGCAGACTGTGTAACCTGAAACCCTGAGGAGTTAGGACAGCTGGAACACAAACTGACTCAGGACTGAAGAGGTCAGGAAGAAAATGAAACTGCTGTGCAAACGGGTAAGAATAATCAGGCTTCGTTTTCTTGCATGCATTCGCCATGCATGTGTTATGTTTAATAACACATGCTGCAGATCAGGTAACTCTCTTTTCTACCCAACTCATAAGTAGCCTCAAGGGTTGTCAACATGGCCCTCCAGGAAGCATCTTGTCCTGTTGTGCCCAAATTCTGAACCCCAAAATCACCAAGAGGCTCATTTCAATGCAAAAGCAAAGAGTCTTTTATTGTAGATGTTTAACCAGCTAACCCCATTAGCTCTGGCCCTTCACCCCGACACCATGGCAAATGGCTGGAGAAAGACCCCAAGCAACCTTGAGGCAGGGATCTTAAAGGTCAGCGTAAGGGGAGTGTCTACAGGTATGAAACAGTCTCAGGATTGGTGTGCTTCTAAGTTTGGACGACCTTCCCTGTGTTGATTGGTCAACTGGTTGCTATGGCCCATAGGCCCTCCCAGGGCAGTTGCTATGCTCTGTGCATCACTGTTATGCACTTGTCCATAAAGCACACCCAGAGCTGTAAAGCACAGCTAACTTGGTTCCTTGCTACGAGGATGGCATCTGACCTCTTAGTGACCAGGACAGGAGCTGAAAGGTCCTGCAAGCACATGTTAGCCTGTAATGGCTGCTAAAATGGGGGACCGGTCACTACAGTCCCAAAGCTTACTTGACATTTTTCAAGTCAGTCACACATGCCCATCCGCAGCCCTCTCATTGGAACTAACGCTTTAAAAGGAATCATTAAAGGCTAGGTAGGGTTCCTTGGGAGAGTGGGAACTTGCGTGTTTTTGCTCATAAAGATGCTGTACCTACCTACAGTCTCTTCTGTGCCACCTCCATTGAGCTCTCCGGAGATCCTGTAGTTGAGTCAGAGACGGGAGAAACCCTCTTGATGTGGTGCAGGCTTTGGGGAGTGAAGGGGCTGCTTTGAGAAGAAAAGCACCAGGCCCTCCCAGTACCCTTATGCCTAAAAGCAAGCACTTATGCTCGGGGTTCAGGGGGTGGGGCTTGGGGGAGCAGGGCGCAGCAAGCACTGTGACTCCTAGACACTATAAATACTCATACTGTGACTGAGGAAATGCAGAAGAAAAAGAGCTGTAATTGCCTTAAAGACATACAGGAAACCAGGCTGGGGAGAGGCAGGAAGTTGGCTTGAAATGCGACTGATCGAAACTTCCTAACGCTGGGGTTTGGGGGTATGTGATAACAACTTTACTCGGAAAGATCGTTCCACCTGCAAACATCCATAAGGAAACAGATGCAAAACACAAGCCTGGTGATGTCCTGGAGGCCTGCTATATATATAGAGTGAGGACATGGCTGCTCTAAGGTAAGGTTCAGGGGAAGGGTTTTATCGTAGACACGAGAGAGTGCACAGCTGGGACATCTGGAAGGGTCCAAAGCAGAGGAAGAAATTAGTAGACCGAATGCGGCCGTGAGAGAGATGAGAGAGAGTGGGGGACTGAGAGAGGAAGAGAAAGAGGGAAAGACAAAAGAGAGGACGGGGGGGGGGGGGGGGAGGGACGATGACAAGAGAGTGCCTGGCAGAAATGAGAAATGGCAGGGTTACATAAGAATGAGAAGCTGGGAAGGGAGGCCCAGTAGCTGTACAAGTTTAGGTTAGAGGGAGGGGCGAGGAGAGCCACGGGTGCTGAGGGAGCCTGGAGACCAGCATGCACTTTGGTATGCTAATAGGCACCACGGTTATCCATTTGTCCTGAATCTCTTTTGGACCTGACCCTGGAGAGTTGAGAGGCTTTTGTATAGACTGGTGTGGAAGGCCAGCAAAGGTGTTTACAAGTGAAAGCATAGTGATTGCTGGAGACCTCCTGGGTGGGAGCCTCAATGGGGAAGGTAGACAACAGGTGTTCTTTCATGGCCTTGGCTCTGAGATACTAATGAGAAAGGGATGTTGAGTGGGGGGCCTGTGATAAGTTCCACCAATTATGCAATCAAACTTTATAACAAGTCATGTGACCACTGATTTGATGTTGCCAGTTTTCCCTTAAATTTGCTGGTAGGAGTGGAGGGATGACTGGAAGGGGTGAGGAGTCATCATTGATGGCCCATATCAGATGTCAATCTTCTGATTCATGGTTGCTTCCAGACACTGTTGAGGGTTCTGAAGCTTATGGAACTCCACCAGAGAAGACCATATATACAAGTTATTTGATGGGGGGGTTTTAGTGAACCTCACATGCTTGAGTTCTCTGTAGTTGGCAATGTTTGTCAGGGTCTGGGAGAGGGTTTGGAGAGGAAAACCTGGAGAAGTAAGACAAAGAGGGGAAACTCATTGGTTTCTGAGGACTCTGACCTCATCAATGGATTAGCCCTGAGATGAATTATTAAGATTCATAATATAATAGATTACTGATAGGTGGTGAGAGATAGGAGCTGGAACTGTTGGAAGGAAATGGGTTTCTGATGAGTAACCGTATTTGCCCTGGCCCCTTCTTATCATCAACACATGCTCCTGTTTCTTTGATATTCTACCTCACCATAAACCCAGTTGTATGGAGCCAAATGGCTGTGGGTGAAACCCAATAAAACCATGAGTTAAAATAAGTCTTCATTCCCTTAAATTGTTTCTATCAGGAATTTGGTCACATTAATGGAAAAGTAACTAACATAACCCTCAAGAAAGGGTTAGTGAATGCAATTCAAAAAGGTATGGGTCAGATAATCATGATGCTTGATCTTCACTGCCAACTTGACTATATTTAGAATCACCATGGAAACACACCTCCGCAGGAGTGTTTCCAGAAAGATTTAGCTAAAGAGGGAAGACTTTCTCTGAATGTGAGGGGCACCCTGTCATGGGCTGGGGTCCTGGACTAAATCAACAGGAGGAAGGAAGCTGAGCATCAGCCTTAGTGTTGACTGTGGATGTGATAGAGACAGCTGCCTCAGCTCCTGCCATTATGCCCTCCCCACCGTGGTGGACTGTATTCCTTCTAAACTACAGGTCTGTGTAAACCTTCCTCCCATACAAGGCTTTTGTAAGGTATTCTGCCATAGCGACGCAAAACGTAACTGGAGTGTGGCTTATCCTAGAATCAAGTCTTGTTCAGTGTTAGAAAATGAGTTAGTGAAATCTCCATACTTCATATAACAAGCTCAGGAGAAATAAAACACTATTTGACACAATTTAGTATTCCTCATGTTAAAAACTTGAGATATACTAGGCATAGAAAGAAATGTTCTTAACTTAAGCTCGTTTTAAATGTCACGTGTACGTAGGTAAAAGACTGAACCCATTCCACCAGAACTAGGACAAAATCAGCAGTGTTGCTTTGGCTTCTTTTAGCCAGTATCTTATCCAAAGTCTTACTAAGAAATGAAGAAGTAAGGAGCAGATACAGAGATCCACAGTCAAACATTAGATGGAGCTCAGAGAATCCTGCAGAAGACAGTGAGGAAGGATTGTAGGAGCTAGAGGAGCCAAGGGGGCCACAAGAAAATCCACAGAATCAACTAACCAGGGCTTGTGGGGGCTCACAGAGACTGAACAATAACCAGGGAGCCGGTATGGGTCTGAGCTAGATCCCATGCATATATGTTGTGGTTGTGTAGCTTGGTGTTCTTGTGGGGCTCCTAACAGTGGGAGCAGGGACATTCTCTGATTCTTTTGCCTGCTTTTCCAACCCTTTTCCTCCTACTGGGTTGCCTTGTCCAGCTTAATATGAGGGGAAGTGCCTAGGCTTATTACGACTTGATATGTCATGTTTGGGAGGCCTGCCCTTTTCTGAAGGGAAAGGGAGGAGGAGTGCATCTGGGGAAAGGGGAGGTGTGGGGGTGTCAGGAGGTGTGGAGGGAGGAGAAACTGCAGTCAGATGCAATGTGTAAGATAAGAATAAGGACTGGAGGGATAGCTCAGCCGTTAAAGGCGAGGCTCACAACCAAAAATTAATATAAGAATAAAAAGACTTGAAATGAAATAAAAGACAAACTTGGGGGAAAAGAGAAACAATTGTTTTTCCTCACAGACAGCATCACTGTTTACATAAAAGCCCAAAGAATTCGTTAAAAAAAAAAGCAAAGAAGACAACCAAACAAAAAGAAACCCAAAACTACCAACACCATTTAATGTCAAAAAGATTAAAGTTAGTATTAAGTTTTACTTCTGTTTTGCCAACCATCAATTTAAAATTGAAGTTAAAAGTACAGTGTTTCAGAGTAGCAGTAAAAAGCGTGGCAAAAGCCAGTAAAACATACAAGCCCTGTATGTTATCACAGGAGGCACAAGAGGCATAAGTAAATGGGACAGGCTTATGAGTGGTGAGGTTCAATGTTGGCATGACATCAGTTCTGCCCAGATTAGCCTACAGACTCAGTAAAATTCAATATAAAACCCAGCAAATTTGCTTCGTTATAGAAACAAATAGCTTGAGTATCAGGTTCAGGTAGAAAGGCAAGGAAAGTAGAAGGTTCAGTTTTGAGACACAAGAAAACATGTTGGTGAACTCTGAAAAGGTCTTTGCCCCCAGGGTGCTGAGAAAGAAGACAGCCACTAACATCACATGCTTGTACTCAAATTATGGAGTCTACATACACATACATGCCTATACTATTCCTGAGACAATTACTGTGTTTTCTAATGTGTACTAAGCCAGACAAAGTGACTCTGTCTCCCAGATAGGCAGTGAGTCCAGGGCCTGAAATAAGCCACTCACCTCACACTCTGGCAAGCTGCTTGAGCCTGGTCATGAGCACAGGCATGCCCTGTCACATCATAGCCTGCCACCCTGGGTTTTATTTCTTAGGGCCAGTTGGGTTATTGAGTGTAACTTGGCTCCAGAAGGGACGAGTCCTTATCTTGAATTGTCCACACCTTTCCTTGACTCCAGAACCTCACCACTCATAAGCCTGAGTCACCACTCATAAGCCTCAGGTATTCTGAATGCCTGATTTGGACAGCGTGAATTGGCGGAGGCCCTTCAGGGACCTGCTGTACAGGCTCAGGCACCTGATCTCAGGACTTTCCATCCAGCTGTAGCAACTAGGCCATTATGGCATCGGCAGAGAGACAGACAGGAATCAATAAAACAAGCAGATACTCGTGCACATCTGCTTGATAACAGTAGAAACATGAAAATACACTGGAAAATTAGGCATGTATATGTAAAATAAATTAATCTTGATCTGTTGTGCCCAAATTCTGAACCCCAAAGTTAACAAGAGGCCCATTTCAATGCAAAAGCAAAGAGTCTTTTATCGTAGTTGTTTAACGAGCTAAACCCATTAGCTCAGGCCCTTCATCCCTCCATCATGGTGAATGGCTGGAGAAAAGACCCCAAGAACCCATGAAGCTGAGATCTTAAAGGGCAGTGTAAGGGGAATGTCTAGGGGTATGAAACATTCTGAGGGTTGGTGCACTTCCAGGTTTGGATGGCCTACCCTGTGTTAATTGGTCAACTGGTTGTTATGGCCCATAGGCCCTCCCAGGGCAGTTGCTATGCTCTGCATGTCACTGTTATGCACTTGTCTGTAAAGTACACCCAGAGTCATAAAGCACAGCCCTGCCAGCTAACTTCTGATTGGTTCCTTGCCAGGAGGAGGGCATCTGGCCTCCTAGTGACCAGGACAGGAGAAGTAAGGTCATGAAAGCACATGGTAGCCTGTCATGGCTGATAAAATGGGGGACTGGTCATTACATTCTCCCCTTCTCTAAGTACCCATGAAAGGACTCAATCCTGAGTCCTGCTGTTTAGGGCCTCAAAGGGGTGTTAACAGACCTTGCCATTGGCAGACAAATTTTTCTGAGGGAGTGGCATTTGCATTTGCTATCATATTGTCTCCTATGTAAGGGAGTTTTCTTTTGACTTAGCATCTCAACCAGGGAAAAGGGGGTGACATATTCTTTTCCATTCTACTTCCTGCTGACTTTGGGACGCAGTTAGGGGACCCAAGAAGGCTGAAATGCTAGCCAAAAGCAAAAAGGTAATTCAGGAAATGGGTTATCCATCAGGAGCAGCGGATTGGCAGACTCTGTTGAAGAGACAGGGGGTGTCCACATTGGCTGGACTGGTTCACATCCATAGCAAGTGCAGGGCTTGCAGTCTTTAGAGTAGACTGTAGTCAGCAACTGATGCTCAGGTGTATCTGCCAGAGGTGGAAACCTGTCTAAGACATGTTTAAACTGGGGACAGAAGTTAAAACTCATGTATTTAATTGGAACTCTTTAGAACCATAGTTTTAGTGATCAGGAAGAGCAGGAATCCCAAGACCAGGGGAGAATAATCCCATCTTCAAGATAACACAGTCTGTACTTATCTGGAGTCCTTTTGACCTGTGTGAAGTGATTCCAAAATGTATGACTTTTGATCCTCT